AAAAAAAAAAAAAAAAAATGGTAAAGCAGGTCCATTTTTGAGGTCCTTCATTTGCTGATTTTCATTACCTGCAGGAAGGGGAGTGGTGTGTGTGTTGGGCGGGTGGGAGATGTCTTTAACTCTTTCTCTAGGAACCCTTATCTTAGAGCAAGCACGGCAAGAGAAAGGCTGATAAAATAGGATCACGTAAAGGTTCCGAGGCCCCTCTGGGGCCTTAAATACAGGGTTAATTGTATTTCCCTGTTGGACCTGATTTTCTTCGGGAAAAAGCGATTCCTCAAGTCTTTGGGAGTAAGTCTCCCGTCCCTCAGTGTGAGCTTCAGAATCACACCAGGTATTTCTGATCTTGCTCTGACTTTGAGTCTGCCCTTTCCTGGTGGAACTTGTCAGCTAGGGGGAGTTCGGTTTTCCATGGTGGATGATGGGTTGGGGAGAAAATGGATGACAAAAGGAAGACAAAACTAGGAAGCTCTGGGAACTCTATCTTTGTTTGTGGAATGCCAGGTCTAGATGGGACCTTTGCCCATGGTCTTGCCTGGCAGGGATGGGCCTGTCGTGAGTCTGGGTGGCCTCACCTCGTGGTCCTCCTGCAGGCACCCTCACTCAGCACAGTTCTCCTCTCACAGAACGGGCTTGCGGCGGGCAGCATGGACGAGCTGATGGGGGTGCTGGACTACCTGCAGCAGGAGGTGAGGCCGTGGGCCCAGGGCTCCCCTGAGGGCGGTGGGGCCCGTTTACCCTCATATGGCCTCCACCAAGGTGGGGGACTGGGACCCTTGGGAAAGGGGAAACTTTAGAGGACCCCATCTTCTCATCCTTTCAAATGAGAACATAGGCCAGGAGAGCGCACTCCGCTCCTGCAAAGGAAACTTCTGAGAGAAACTCGACTCTTCCTTGAGTCCTCGGTGGCCCTGCTCTGCCCTAAGGCCACTCTCTAGCTGAGTCTGGGGCAAGGACGAGATGGAGGGGCCTGAGGACCTTCAAGACCTTTCTGCTCAGTGACTGTGACGCTGCTGCAGGGTCTGAGAATCGGCTGGGGGTTGCTGTGGCTCTGCCTTCCGCTTTGCTCCCCTGGAGGGCAGCTTTCCGCTGGAGGGGGCTGCAGGCCCATAGCCCCAGTGGTCTCGCTGCCCCGTGGACACTGGTGGGAGACTCCCCACCCACCGTGAGGGACAGAGAGTCCTGTTTCTGGATGGCACAGATGCAGGGCTGGCAGCACAGACTGACCCCGACCAAACATCTCCCAAAGGATCATGCCAAGTTAATCAAGGGGAGGCCCATCACGCTCAGCCACACCCCAGACGGGGCCCAAGCAGGAGTTCCAGAAAGCCCAGCAGTCATGGCGACTTGGCAAATACTCACGTTCCTCTCTCTGTGTCCTCCTAGGTCCCCAGAGCGTTTGTAAACCTGGTGGACCTCTCTGAGGTTGCAGAGGTCTCTCGTCGGTATCAGGGCACTTGGCTCAGGTAAAAGGGGAAGGGGAAAGAGACGTGCATCTGTGACACGGCTGTCACGTGTGCGTCCTGTGGGGGCCCTTCATGTGCCTTAATCTATGAGGGACCCTAAAGAACAGAGGCTAAGGGAGGCTGAGAAACACGTGCAAGCTGACACCCGAGCGAGTGGCAGAGTCGGGGTGGGGCGGGCCCCCTGCCAAGCATTGTTTTGGGGACTGAGTCAAAGAATAAAATACTCGGTCTGGTTGATGTCGTGCCAGAGGCTCTCCTCCGTGCCAGAGTGATTTGAGAGTTCGCCTTGGCAAAACATTCATAAGCTAAGAAGTGTTACTTCTGGAAATTGGATAGAAAAACGTAGCCTAAATGTAGTTTAACTTCACAGAACTTGATTCCTATATATTTCTGAAAATGTTCATAGACTTTAAACTTTTTGGAGCCAAATCCTAAAAATTTTGGCTCTGGACCTAGAAAAGAAGTTCGTGTAGAAAAAGTCAGGGCAAGGGTGGTGGAGAAAATGGTGCTGGAAAGGAGAGAAGGGGGTACCGAGGGGAAGGAGGGCTCTGAAGAGGACGCAAGACAGAGAAGGTACAGGGGAGGGAAAGGAGAATGGGATGTGGGTGTCTGGTGTGAAGAGCAATGAAGGGGGAGGAGGGAGACTGAGAGATGAAGAGGGAGAAAAAGCTTCCCTCTATCCCATACTTATCCACTAGGAAGAGCTTTTCTCCATCCCATATCCACCCCCCAGGAAAAGCTTCCCTCTATCCCATAGCCACCTCCCAGGGAGAGCTTCCCTCTATCCCATACCCACCCCTAAATCCATACCCACCCCCCAGGGAGAGCTTCCCTCTATCCCATACCCACCCCCAAATCCATACCCACCCCCCAGGGAGATTCCCTCCATCCCATAGCCACCCCCTAACCCATACCCACCCCCCAGGGAGAGCTTCCCTCCATCCCATACCCACCCCCAAATCCATACCCACCCCCCAGGGAGAGCTTCCCTCCATCCCATACCCACCCCTCAGGAAGGGACCACACACCCTCTGTTCTTCCCAACATTTGTGTCCTCTAAGACTTAAGCTTCTTCGTCCCTACTCCTTAAGCAACTCCTAGGCCCCTTCTTCCATAACAGGCAGCCTGGATGCACCCCCTTCCCCCACACTGCCTCCCCTCTCTCATTCCTGGTGTGTTTCAACCTGCAGCCCTGTGCCAGAGCCCTGCAACTGCTCAGAGGAGACCTCCAGGCTGGCCAAGGTGGTGATGCAGTGGTCTTATCAGGTGAGCCCACCCTGGGAGCCCGGGCTGCTGGCTCACAGGGGTGGGGTGGTCGCCAAGGAGAACGGGACAATTAGTTGAGTTTGCTCATGTTAGGACGTCTCCAGTTGAATTCAGGACTAAGGAGCAAAGAGAGCTGCTCTTGCTTCACGTTGTGGTGGTGATTTCGGGATTCCTGCGTGTAAAATGGGGGCTACAGTACTGGTAGGGGTGCGAGTAGGGGGACAGTGGGGGCACTTTAGGCAAAAGGTAGTGAGGAACTTCAAAGATTCATTCTGGAATGCTTTTGGTCATCAGTGTCACTTGTAGTACCACATCTGGAGCAGGTGAACTGGTTCTGCCCAGTGTGCCTGTCCCCAGCCTACAGCCCAAAGGCAAACCAGGGCTCCTGAAGATGTACATTCCAGTTCACAGAAAAGACCTCAAGAGAGGGTGAAGGGGTTGGGTGTGGTGGCTCACACCTGTAATCCCAGCACTGTGGGAGGCTGAGGCAGGCAGATCACCTGAGGTCAGGAGTTCAAGACCAGCCTGGGCAACATGGTGAACCCTCATCTCTACTAAAAATACAAACATTAGCTAGGCATGGTAGCATGCGCCTATAGTCTCAGCTACTCGGGAGGCTGAGGCAAGAGAAGTCACTTGAGCTTGGGAGGTGGAGGTTGCAGTGAGCCGAGATCGCACCACTGCACTGCAGCCTGGGCAAGAGAGCGAGACTCTGTCAAATAAATAAATAAGGGTGAAGGGCTTAATGAAGGCCATCATCCCTCTTAGCAAACAGCACAAAGCACAGTTTCTGTTAGCATGTGTTAACATGATGAATTTTTATTTGAAGTTGCATGGCACCTCTCTCGCTCTGGAAATGACAACATGTTTTGAGTGGTTAAGGCCCCTGCCTCTACCAAACTTAGCTCTTGAAGACAGCAGGAGGCCCCACCATACGCTGGGCTGTCTTGTCATTCCTAAGCTTCCAGAGAATATATTTCAGGTCTGTCTCTGGTATTACCTAATGCTGGCACTTCAGAGACAAATGAAAACTCAGCTTAGCTATCAAAGAGCCCTGAAGGGTGAGACAAGAGGGAGCTTCAGAATAGCACTTGAGAACAACGAGAGGGGCAGATTCTGTCCCAGGTCTGCTGAGAATGATCTGGGGCTGGCTCTGCTTTGCTCATGTTCCTGGATGGTCACCTCTCTGCTCCCTTCTCCAGGAAGCCTGGAACAGCCTCCTGGCCTCCAGCAGGTACAGTGAGCAGGAGTCCTTCACGGTGGTTTTCCAGCCTTTCTTCTATGAAACCACCCCGTCTCTACCCTCGGTAAGTGGGGGCTGCATGGCGTATCGAGAGGGTGGTTGGGGCCAGGCGTGGTGGCTCACTCCTGTAATCCCAGCACTTTGGGAGGCCGAGGTGGGTGGATCACCTGAGGTCGGGAGTTCGAGAGCAATCTGGCCAACGTGGTGAAACCCCGTGTCTACTAAAAATACAAAAATTAGCCAGGCATGATGGTGAGCGCCTGTAATCCCAGCTACTCAGGAGGCTGAGGCATGAGAATCGCTTGAACTCAGGAAGTGGAGGCTGCAGTGAGCTGAGATTCTGCCACTGCACTCCAGCCTGGGCAACAGAACGAGACTCAGTCTAAAAAAAAAAAAAAAAAAAACTGTGCAACAGAACGAGACTCAGTCTAACAGAAAAAAAAAAAAAAAAAAACTGTGAAGAGTGTGGTGGGGAGAAGGCCTGGGCCATACATCTGTTCCTGCCCCCTCTCCCACCCTTACCCAACAAGCCTCAGCCCAGTTCAGCTCTCCTGAACCCAGGATGCATAGTCTTAGGGGAAATACCCCCATATTCTCTTATACTTTCCTGTACAATTTCCTCACAGGGTTGAACAGCCCACATGAGACGGGCTGTTAGAGGCAGGGCAGCCCAGGGTAGCCCAGGGTGAATGGCGTAGCTTCCCCTCCTGGCTCTGGGGTGGCCGGCTGTGTGACCTTAGACAAGGTGTTGAACTCTGTTCTGTAAAATCAGGGCTGTTTAGTAACATGTCCTCCCTCTCGGTGGCCATCAGGGCCACATGAGTTAATACTTGGGGGGACGCAGAGTGGCGTCTGGTGCTGGGGAAGCACTCGTACCTCTTGGCCATCATGCTTATTCTGAAGAGAATCTCCAGGGATTCCAGCTCTTGTCCCTCCTGCTGCACGCTCCTCTCCATCCATCTCTGGAAGGGCGGGGAATCTGAGTTGCCCTTACCCCCTCCCCCAGATCACTGGGCAAGGGGCCACCCAGACCATGTGGCACGTGGTCCACACTTGCTGACCAAGGTCTCTGCAGACTCTGGGGCCTCAGTCCTGTGTCTGGGGACAGTCCCTTCCTCCAGGCTTCTGGCTCCTGCCTGTTGGAATCCTTGTGCCATCTCCATGCCATAAACAGTGTTTAAAGTGATGGTTTAAGAGGATGAGGAGAAATACTAGCTCACATTCCCTTCCTTCATCCTCCTACTCAGATCACACCTGAATCATTTGCCTGCCACCCCCTCCTTCCACTGTTTGGTTCAGTGACAGAGAACCCCATGATGACATGGAGCTGCCTGACGTGCCACCTGCTCCTGCAGGCCCTGACCTCAGAGCCCTGACCCCCGTCAGTGGTCCCATAAGTGCCCCTGTTATTGATGAGAGGAGGGGCTGAGAGAAAGGGCCTGGACAGATCAGGCCACCTCAACTCTACACCAGAGAGGGCTTCAAAGTGTGCAGCAGGTCCGCTGCATTCCTGGGGAGACACAAGGTCCCGCTGTCAATTGGTTCTCTTTCAGGAGGACCCCCCACTCCAGGATTCTACCACACTGGCCTGGCATCTCTGGAATAGGATGGTGAGTAGATGGGCCTGGGGTGGGACCCACAGAGGAGGGGCAGGGTCTCCACCACCACTGAGCCCACCGTGCTGAGGAGGGGCCCCAGGGCGCCCCAGGATCCCAGGACAATGGTTCTGGGCCACCAGGGATGCTTCTCTCTCCTGGTGATGCCCCTCTCTGACTGACTGAGAGTTTGCCTCGCCACACGTACTGGGCTGCAGCCAGGCCAGGGAGCAGCAGGGGTCTCACCGGAGCCTCAGCCCTGCTTTCCCAGAGGCGGGGCCGTTTCTCAGAGTCTGTGTGGAAGACCTGCTTGAGTCTAACACTGGGGAGTGTGCTCGCCTCACCATTGCTGTTCAGCCTGCCCTCGCACTTAGTCAGTGTGCGGTTGTCAAGGCCCAGGGTGGTGCCTGGAACAAGTGTGGACTTCAGTGTGATGAAGGCCTGGGTTGGAATGCTAAGCCCACCACTCGCAAGCTCTGTGAACTCAGGTCTCAATGCTCATTCTGCAAAATCCAGGTCAGTCCCTGGCCCAACATGTCTAGCGCGCAGCTCGCTCCTGGCCTGTAGTAAGCACTCCACATGGGTTGGCCTTTTTACTGTAACCGTAACAGGATTTCCCCAGATTCCAAAGGCTCCCTCCAGGGATATCTGGGATTAGTCAGGGGATGGAATGTGACGTCAAGGCTTTGAACCTTTTCAGGGCATCAGACGGAGACCTGATTTTGCCATTTATTTTCTTCTCACCCAAGCTGCCTTATTTTTAGAATTCTAGTGACAGAAATTCATTGTTCTTTTTTTGTGGATCCATCTCTACAACTGACATGGTGTGTTGAGTACCAGGGACAGCTGCATTTCAGCACACGTGAGCCAGTGTGAAACAGAGTGCAGGGAGGGAAGGGGCACAGCCTCCGACAGTCCCAGACACTGGAAACATACTGTCCTTTGAAGAAGGCATTTGAGTTCTCTGAACAGGGATGTTTGTCAGTGTGCCTGGCACTTGCAGGTAATATGTCCCCAGAAATCCACTTTGCTGCTGATCTCCCATGATGGGCAGAGAAGAGGAATCTGGCCCCTCCAGCAGGGACTGCTCTCCCAAGCCCTCTCTCAGGGAGAGCAGGGCTGATGATTCCACCTCAACCAAACCTCTCCCCTCCTGCCATCTTTCTCCCAACCAACAAAAGGACACCTGTGACATGGCCTGCCCTTGGAGGTGCCATACCACCTTGTACCCTGCCCTTGTACCCTCCATGGTTCCAAGAAGGACACAAGAGACCCACCAAACGTGGCTTCTGTCCTCACCAGGCTTCAGGTGTAGCTGGGAAGGGCCCGACAGCCCAGAGGAACAAGAGTCAACAGGGACTTAGCCAGCAGTGATGTGCTGGGCCATGCACCAGGAAGCAATGTGAAGGATGAGGCCAGGAGAGCCCATGAAGAGGCAATTTGAATGGGCTTTGTGAAATGTGTTGGAGGAGGTCAGGGAGGGCGTTCCCAGGCAAAGGGACCTTTGTGAGCAAAGGGCACGGAGAGAAGAATGCGTCAGATGCAGCAGCAAGGGCAGGAAGAGGCCTGTCTGATAAGAGAAGAGATACGGAGATAATAAGGCTCCGAGCATGAACGGAGCCCTTGAGCACCAGACAGAGAAGCTGGAGAGGGCAGGTCCAGGGAGGGGCTGGATTCCTATCGCTTTCTCCCTTCATCATGCTATTTGTCCTTGATGTTGGTGGCAATAGCAATCATAACCACCTTTACAGAGCTGCTGGGTGATGGTCCCGTGCATACAAATAAGGTACAGCCCACGTACGGTCTCTTAAAACTACTTGAGGGTCAGGATGAGCACGTACACAGGAATGGAAGGTCTCACCCTCAAGGCCAAAGGCCTGTGACACAGAGAGTGTCACAAAGGCTTAGAAGAGGAGGAGGATGTGGCTTTCCTGGGTAAGCAGTGACCTCCCTCTCTCCACACCCATACGACAAGTCCAGTTTCCCAGTGCAAACCAGAGGTTCCTGCAGCCTCAGCCAGCAGGGACATGGGGAGCGGGGAGAGACAGGATAAGAGGGGGTTCCCCCAAGCATCCCCAGTCCCTAGTTTCCTCACAAGCAAAATGCCAGACCGTCCCACAGTTCCCAGGTCCAGCACAGCTGCTGGAATACAACAGAAGCTCCTGCAGACCCAAATTCAGCCATGAGAAGCAACGAGTGTCACAGGTTAGGGCAAAGGGCCCTGGACGGGAGCCAGAAAACCTGGGCTGTGGTTTCAGTCCCACTTTCGGTGGTTTCTTGAGGCAAGTCACATGGTCTTTCGGGGTGTCCATTTTCTCTACCTGCCAAAAAGGTCTAAACACCCTTAGCCAGCACCTGAGGGCTTGTGAAGATACAGGAGGGCCCCGGGCTCCTCCTACCCTTGGTTTCACTAATGGCCACCTCCAGGTGCAGGGAGGGCAGGACCTGCCACCACATCTATGATTCTTTGCTGGGCTGGACTGGGACACCGAGGTGGAAAGCAGGTGTGCCTGTCCTGTGTCCACCCTCGCAGACACACACAGTCCAGGTGAGGGCTGCCCCCTGTGTGGGGAGCAGAGAGGGACCGGCAGAATCCCATGATCACAGGGAGTCCAGGTCCACCACTCTGTCCTCAGCCACCCCTGGACACAACTGTGGGGAAGGAGAGGAGCTCTCAGCTCTGCAGCCTACAAAGCCACATCCCCAGACCATGTCAGCATCCTCCCTCCCTCCCTCATCCTCCAAGCCCTAGCATAGGTGAGCTTTGAGGACCAGCAAAGGAAAAGTTCCACACACCAGCATGGGAGGTGGCAGCAGCCCCATCTAAACGTGCCTGGAACGTCCTGGCTGAGTGAGGCCTCCAGGCTGAAGCTTGTACCGATGCCAAGCCGAGGAGGATTTTGTGTCTGGGACACGGTTCGTTCCCTAGGCCCTTTCTGCTGCTGCCTCAATAATTTCTGGTAATTCTTGTACATCGGTCGTTTTGAAGGGACCCACCTTTAGGGAACTGATGTCTCTGGCCCTTTCCGCAGTCACTGACCCCACCTTATGCCAAGTCAACACCAGGGGCCCAAGCCATGGGCAGAATAAGGAACGTGGGGATCGCTCACAGCCCAGGGAGGATTCTGCTGCTCGGAGCGGATTTTCAAGGTCATTGCCCTCACCCCTCCGACACTGCAGTTCATTCCTCGGTGGCAGGGAAGCCATGCTGGCGAGGTGTGCAGAGTGGAGTGGAAGCCCAGACCGGCCCCGGTTGTCCCTGCAGTAGATAGCAGCGCACGTGCGTTTATGGGCCTCACAGCGTGGCAGGAGAAAGAGGCACATACAAGAAATTATTTGAAGTAACTGTGTCGTTTCCATCCTCTCTGGGGATGCAGGAGAAGAAAGGGTCAGAGTCAGTGTAAAGGGAATGAATGGAAGCAAGGAGGATGGAGGAGACTCCTAAAGAGAGATTTAGGACAAAGTTCTCAACAGAAATGGGCTTCTTGGGAAAACCTATGAATTTTCCTTCTTTGAGGCCCTTTAAAAAAAATAGTCTCTGCTGTATCCACTTTATCAGAATCATTTAGATACGGCTCTTTCAAGGTTTCTTTCCAGATTCCATTATGGATTAAATTCTTGGAAGATGGGGGAAAGGTGGGCGTGGTGGCTCATGCTTGTAGTCCCAGCACTTTGGGAGTCCGAGGCAGGAGGAATGTTTAAGCCCAGGAGTTTGAGACCAGCCTGTGCAACGTGAAAAAACCCTGCCTCTACTACAATATGAGAAATTAGCTGGGCATGGTGGCACACGCCTATAGTCCCAGCTATTCAGGAAGCTGAGGTGGGAGAATCACCAGAACCCGGGAAGTCGAGGCTGCAATGAACTGTGATCACACCACTGCACTCCAGTCTGAGCAATGAGAGTGAGACCCTGTCTCAAAAAAGAAAGAAAAAAAAAATGGGGAAGAGAAGGTGGCAAGACAGATCAACACCTGGCCCTCACCCAGGCCTGCTCAGTACTTCCTTCGACAGCCGCCTTGAATGTTCCAGGTGGGACCTTGTTTCTAGGAGCGGCCACCATCAGAATGAAACAGAAAGGAGCATGGAGTCTATTTCCTCCCCTAGGCCGTGAGTTAGAGAGTTGCCACTCCTTTTCCAAATGTTCAGCTAATAATACCTTCTTATCTGATTCTCCTTCAGTCTGGCTGAAGAGCCAATTCCACTAAGGGTAAAATTCTTTTCTTGTTTCTTGTTTACTGGGGCACAGATGCTGGGGTAAGATACCGCTGAGGAATCTGAAATCCTCAACCAAGCCAGACAGGCTGCCCCATCCACTAGCTTCCCACGTCCCTTGGCAGAGTCATTGGAAGGGGAGGTGAGGGCCAGAGGTACCAGCAGAGCCCAGCAGCTGTGGGCAGCCAGAGGACAGGAAAACAGGTTCTCAAACAGTAGGAAATAGCACGTGCAGAAGAAAATCTGCAATCCCTCCAAGCCTTTTCTTTTTAAGTGTTTATGTATGTATAACGAACATTTTAAAATAACAAAAAAACTTAAAAAACAAAAATCCCTCCCTCCTCTAATTCTTCAACGGCCTTCACTTCCCTATGTCTAATGCTTTTACTAAGTTGATAATCTGCTGGTTTCTCCTGCTGTTATACCATAAATATTTTATCTGTGTTATTAGATGTCATTGGATGGCCTTTGTGGTTGTCATTTAAGTAGCTGCCTATTTCAGAGTGGATACCACACCACCCGCTCCTGGCTCACTAGATACTGTAGCGGTTTGTGAGCGCTGGCTGTGCTGTGTTCCACGTCACTGTATTTGTGACCCCGTGAAAGACATGAGACTTGACCCAGGCCCCATAACTTGCTTCACTCAGAGCTGTGGAAGCAGTTCTCAGGGAACGGAGGGTTTCCATTCTCTACTGTGCGCAGATTTACGTACGTTTGGGTTGTGGACACAGGCTGCGGGCAGGACTTGGGAAAGAAGACATGCTTTATGCAAAAGCAATGCATTTGCCCTTCCTTCCCATACCGGCTCTCCTCTCTAAGGGAACTTGAATCCGTGAGCCAGAAAGTAGCTGGGCAGCAAGGAGGGGACAAGAAGCCAAGCTGGATAACCGGCCCCCACGTGATCAGAAAGCTGCGTGACCCATCGCGAGATGTTTGGATGGATTGAGGATACTAGTGTTGGAGTCCCAGCTCTGCCGTGGCTGGCTGGGCCCCACCTCAACCTCTGTTGTGCAGCTTCTCCTTCTAGGAGAGGTAGACTAGGAAGTCCCTTCAATATATATATATAAAACAAAAGCTTCCTCTCATTCTGTGGTTCTCAAACTCGGGTGTGCATCAGAATCACCTGGAGAGCTGCCCCAGGGACAGACTGCTGCCCCAGCCCCGGAGTCTCAGACTCAGTCGGTTGGGGCTGGGGGCTGGACACGTGCATTTCTAATGCGTTCCCTGGTGCTGCTGCTGGACTAATAAGTCTTTCTCACTGGTGGCTTGGCAGGCTGCTACCTGCACAAAACTTCCCTGTTCTAAAGCCCACGTTCCTTTCTAGATGGAGCCAGCAGGAGAGAAAGATGAGCCACTGAGTGCAAAACACAGGAGGCCAATGAAGTGTCCCTCTCAGGTAGGAGGGACTGGGCAGGGGAGGGACTCTTATTGAATTGAGGGCGCAGGGTGGGTGGCCAAGTGGGCTTTGCTGTGACGTGGGTCTTACCTGAGATAAGAGTCCTGGCTCTGTTCTTCTGGGGCCTGCACACAGTTTTGCATACATAGCAGGCCTGATGTTTACAGCTGTGGGCCACGAGAGCTGTTTCAGCAAAACAGCAGCCCCCTCTATGCCTGTGGAAGGCATAGGAACAAGGCCACAGCTCACCTGGCCCCAAATGCTGCCCCCACGTATCTCCTCTGGGTCCTGGCCCTCTGCCTCAGATGCCGTTTCCAGACCTTCCTCTACCTCAGAGTGGCAAAGAAGGGAGGGATGGTGAGTATCTAGGTGCCTGAAAGGCAGATCATTTTGACTGCATCTTAAATATGTGTCTAGTATGTAGTAGGCTTATAATTAATGTTTCCAAATAAGTGGATGACCAAATAACTGGACACAAATGAATGAGATTTTTTTTTTTTTTTTTTTTGAGATGGAGTCTCGCCCTGTTGCCAGGCTGGAGTGCAGTGGCACAATCTCGGCTCACTGCAACCTCCGCCTCC